AAGCTGACAGATGAGCAACAGGAGCACCAAGCTTCCAGCCAACATGAGCCGTGAGGGTCTGTAACGTGGGCCTCCCCTCAATCCCACTGGGTGACAAAATCCACTCCAAGGTGTGTGGCTGAGGAACAGGGAGCTGTTACTGTGGAAGCGAAACCACAAGAACTGGAAGGAATGTCAAGACCATCTGGTTTAACCTGCTGTTCACAGAAAAGAAAAGCAAGGCCCGCAGACGTGAGGCAAGCTGGTCATCAGCTAACCAACCAGAATCCAGGGACAAGCCACCGATCTCTCAAGACTTGGCTCATTCCTCCCCCAACAGTACAGTGTAGTCCCTGTGAGAATTTACCTGAGAACCTGCAAAGCCACAAGAACACTGTTTCATCACACTGGGCCCTAAGACAAATTTCTGTGTGTTAGAGAAACAGGTATTAAAGGCAATGAGGAGAGTGAGCCATGTTTTATCCAGAAATCCTCCCTCCTCTGCCTACTCTAGCTCTCCTCAATGTCTGTCTAAGATTATTGATGAGACAGGGAATTGTAATGGTGGCATTAAATCTTCTATTTTGAGATTTGGATCTCTGGTATAGTTCGAATTAATAAGTGTGATTTTGCTTGGGACTTTTTGAAAGCCTTCTTTTCTTTCTTTGCTTCCTATACATTCACTAGGCATACCAGTTTCTATTTACTTGGCCCAGTGCAGGCCCTGTGACTTGGGAAAGGTTTTGCATCTGTATGGGATCCACTCCTGGCTCCAACTTAAATCTACATAACATATGCAAAGGTTGCCATAACCAGCTTATCTGCACCTTCCCCCACCCCAACTGACAAAGCCGAACTCAACAGAAAATTCCACTACAGGTGGAAGAGATTTACATCCTGGTTAGAAAATATAGATGAAAGGAAGACTCAGTAGTTTGCAGTAGTTTCCAGCAGACTTTGCCCAGCCGACCCTCCTCTTACTTTAATGAATCTTCTTTCTATATTTCGACCTGACTCATGAATTCCTTCTCGACCTGTGAGAGAGCAGCCACAATTATGATCGCCCAAACAATTTAATGCTGTATATACAGAGGGTGCCCAAAAAAATATATACACATTTTAAGAAAGAAAAACTATATTATAATTGTAATAATATATACCAATAACAAAAGATGAATACAGGGCCTGCCGAGTGCCTTGTTGGTTAAGAGTTGGCTTGGGAGAGCCAACTCTGAGCAACAGGGCCCCAGTTTGGATCCCACATGCCGGCAGTGACGCTGCACCCTCTACAGCTAAGATGGCAAACAACAGCTCGACCTGGAGCTGGGCTGCCGTGAGTCGCCAGCGACAGCGTAGCCCCACTGGGGCTGCAGTGGGCTGCCGTGAGCTACCCTGAGTGACAGGGAGCCAGCGTGAGCGGCCGGCAGCTGGCGTGAGCTGCTGTGAGCCGCCGTGAGCGGCTGTCCAATGGCCAGCGACCAATCTGCCTCAGCTGGAAAGAGCACAATGATCATGATACCAACATGGGCCAGTGAAGCGACGTCCTCCACAACTAGACTGAAGAACAAAAGGACAGCAACTTGTCTGTTCCCCTTCCCCGATTCCCCAATGCTGTTCCCTCCAATTCCCCAGTAAAATCTTAAAAAGAAAAAAATGATGACTACAAGTCACATTTGACTTCTGCAATTACAAAAGGTTCTCAAAGTGGTTGCCATCAGTGTCCAGACACTTCTGATTATGGCAAACTACTGCTTGAGCAACGTTGACACTTTTTTTGGCACCCCCAGTATAATATGCGGCTTCCTGGCTTCCCAATGAGATGAAAAGATTTCCTAAGTGGAGGGACCACATCTTTTACAGCTATTTCCCACAGCACCTCTCATTGTGCTGAGCACACAGTTAAAAGAGCTCAACAAATATGTCTTGACGGATGCTTTCCAGGCATAACAGACTAAAATAATACTCTGAAAAGCTGGAGCCCAAAAGAGGGTCAGAACACATCTTCAGTAATGTTTCCACAGGACAGCTGTGTTAATATTCTATGAAAGCAGTGGACATGTTGTGCTCTTCAGCGCAACTGGTTAAGATTTTATATGATCAACTTTCTTCTTTGTTGTCTTCTCCCTCCGTAGGAACTATCCTATTCCTACAAGAGTTAAAATAAAAAGCGCCACTGTAACTACTTCAAATGATTCCAATGCCTATATACAGACTGTAGGTTTAGTTTTGATTATGAGAATAACAGGGGAAAAAAAGTTTCAGAAAATGAAATTCACAACTCTCGGTCTCTTGTTTTCTACCCTTAAAAACTAGAAGTTACCCTAATTCGTCAGGCTAAAATTTAAAATTTTCCTGAAAGACTTTGTAAATAAATCTTAGCCTCTAATATCCTTTTGGTTCCACTTTTAGACAACAGGAAATCCTTGTACAGATCAATTTACTCATGAGGTATGATACCTTCACCAGCAATCCTATTAGTTAGTGCTCAGAAGGCCCCAGGAGAGGCGAACAAAAGTAGCATTTACAAAGCTGCCCAGGGACGAATCAGTATCAGCTGCCTATCCTTTGTAATGCTGTGGCTGCAGGAGCATTAATGCAATACCCCAAACTCTGCAAATTTCCACCAATCAGTTATTCATATATTAAAAAAACTGCTTGTGAATCCTAAACGACGGGAAAAATAAAAACACTTTAGTGCGACCATCAAGGTACCCTAGGAGGCCTATGAAAAGAACAGCAGGTCCTGGGAAGGGATTACAAAAGATTGCTTTTACAGTCACCCTCTGCCCGCCCTGGGATAGTTAGCCAGAGTTTTAAGGGTGAATTCCTGCCATGGAGGAAAACTCTTTATTTAGGGGTCACAAAAGCTCTGATATACTCGATAATTTAAAACGGGAATGAGGGCCGGCCGAGTGGCTCAGTTGGTTAAGAGCTCGCTCAAGAGTTTGAACTCTGAGCAACAGCGGTTCGAGTTCTGGCCCGAGCTGAACAGCCGCTGAGCTGCCAACAGGTGGCAGGATGGTTCAGCTAAAAACAAACCAAAAAAATAAATAAATAAAACGGGAATGAGACTGAAATGTAAATTTCACATCCTCTGGGTTAAGTTTGGTGAGCTAGACTGTAACCTGGCAACTCCAAAATCAAATCAAATGCTGTTCAGAGATCATTTTCAGTAATTTTCTGAGCAGCGCCTCAATGCTGGCAGCAATTTCACACACTAGAATGACCTCTGAAAAAGATATTGGTCTAACAAGGAGAGTTTAAAGGGGCCGGCCATCTCCATCGCCAACTGGCTTCCTAGTCAGGGAAAGTCCGTGGGTTACGGAATGGACCCAAAGACTGGACTCACACTCCCAGAGTCAGGATGTAGAAGTCAACGCAGTAGGGGAAAGAAATCCAGTGAGTTCAGAATGCGTCCTTCAGGGTGTCAAAAGGAGAGGTTGAGATGCAAACCCCAAGTGTCATTACAAAAGCTAAATCAGTTATAAGAGAAGATTAGCAGAGATAATCCATGCCAGGGGCTTAGCACAGTGCCCAGCACATAGTAATAATAGCAAGAGATAGCATTTATCAAATACTTAACAAGTGTTCTCAAAGTCAGCAGCAGTAGAAAAATTTATGAAGCATCGACTGACCCTGTCAAAGAACTTTAGGTTTCATTTTTTTTGGTGCTCTCAATAGAAAATACCATGTTTTGTGTGCCTTTAAATGCAACAATCACAAGAGCATCTTCCTTGAGGAATTGGAAGAGAGGCCTGCAGGGCTGAGATTTCAAACAAAAGGTTAAAGAGGAAGAGCTAAAAAGGTATCCTCCTGAAGTTACTGCATCTATGCTACCCAAATCTATGGACTCCACAGGGAAAGGGTTAACTGCATACTTAGTAAAGCTGAGAAATTTTAGAGTGAGCACATTAGTTAAACAATGAGAAAAATCAGCGAAACTGGTTTGCCATAAGCAGCAGTCTCCCTGAAATAGGCTCTCATTTACTTTTCATTACTTCTGCTTTCCAGTCTCTTCTCTTTGAAGCAGCTCTTGATTAGTTTCTTTTTAATTGCCACTTAATTGGGAAATAAAATTAGAACACTTATTTCATACCAGTGATGGGGTTTCTCTTTTCAATGCTGCTTTGATCTAGTTTTGAAAAACCAAAAGCTGAAGGGAGAAATTAAGAAAAAGAAACTGAAAAAGATTTCTCCTTTCCAACAGCTAGATGCAGCTATAAGCCATCAAATAAATATGGAAAGAACCACTTGGAGACTCTGAAGAATAAAACAAAAGCAAGTAAGGATAGCTTATGGAATTCCTTTAAAAAAGACCTTTCTTTTCTCTGAAGTTTCTTCATAATGGATAATATCTCATGACTAGGAAGTGAGGAAAACTTATAAAAACCCATTTTAATCTGTCCCCATGGAGTAAGAGAACAGGATGGAAAAGACATCCCTTATCAAAGGGTTCTTGACCCATGGCTTACCAGCATCTCAATGGTATCGACGACATTGCTAAATAAATTCCAAAAAAAATCCTAGGAACAAACTAGTCTAAAAGTTCTTTCTTGTTCCAGAACACCCAAGTAAATTTTACTTGTCTGGTACCCCAAAATTAACATCTAGCAGCTGATAAGGTTCATTCTTTAGTGATACTTCTCGGGAAGCCTTTCACTAAAAACAAGCAAATTAAACCATAGAGATGAAATCATGAACTGCACAGGGATGCGGCATAAAGATGATCTTAGTCCGCCTCTCCTCTCAATTGCTCAAGGTAACTTGTCAGGCAAGTAACCGAAAAAAAAATGCTACCTTCTCTTCCTCCGTTGAGTGGATTTTTTAAAACAATAGCTGATAGATAGTGTGGCAGTGGAGTCAAGGAATTTGTAACAGATATGTACGATATTGGGGGGAAATGGGGCAGTGGATTGGGGGAGAGGGGTTGTCACTTCGAGGGGTAAAAAGTATAACTATTGCACTGTGTTGTACAGCTGAAACTAATTCTAAAAAATGTGTATTTCATAATAAAAAATAATTTAATAAANCTTCACAGGCTGGTCCTGGGCTGAATCGGTCTCGCTGCCTTTCTCTTTCTTCTTTTTTTGTTTCTTTTTCTTCTTTTTGGCTCCAGTGTCATTGGCTGGACTCAAACCACTGTAAGACAAGTAAATACCGATGCAGGGTTTTAAAAAAACTCATCTGTTTTGGGCTCCACTGACAAAGAGCCTTCTGTGGAGCCAGACCTTCCTTAATCAAGCCTGCTGGCTTCAGGAGCAGACTGGAGAATCCAGGTTCCCAGAAGGGGCATTCGGAGGACACTAAAAAGCACAGCTCTCCTCCCGACTCTCACCAGCTCCCAGGGAGGGAATGCTGTGCAAGGAATGTCCTATTTGTTTGAAAACACCTTTTCTGCTCTTATTTTTATGTGTTTTTTATTTTCTTTAGATTGCCAGGTTGCTGGCACCCAAGGCAAATGATCATTGTTAACAGGGCATTTATACCATCGGTACGTCCTGAGAGCCCTAAATTTAAAACGATAGCCAAAAGTGGCCTCAGTGGCAACCCTTCTTCACCCCCACTCCCACCCTCCCAATACATTAGGTTTAATGAGTTTCCCCAGCTGGGTCTAAAGTACAAGGTAGTATTGGAAAGGGAAGAAGGAACGAGGAAAAAGGCAGCTTAATGTTGCTATGCTCTATGTCCAAAATAGTCAATCATGAGAAATGCCTAAATCAGTCCTGTAGAGGAAAACTATCAGTAGGCTCAGACTAGGTGATCACCACAGGCAAAACCCAGCACTAGGAATCTTGGGAAAACAACAGTGAAGCACCCAGCCACTCCTGCCACAAAGAGATTACATGAAACGTGTGAGTGTGAACATAGTAACAGGGACTTCCTCAGGCCCCTTTCCTTCTGCGCAGCACGCCCAACGAAGACTGCAAAAAGTTTCCGAGTCACATTCCTGTAGTCTTTTATTATCATTTTCTGCATTGTCTCTCAATATTTTTGAGACACAAACCATACATTACACTGTGTTTGACATTTTTCATTTGCTTGCTCCCAAATGTTTTCTCCCTGTTTTTGTTAATTTTAGTATACTAGTTTTGATTCTGGGTTTCCTTCATTTTACTGATGAATTTTAAGGTTCACCTGGTAGCCAGCTTTTGTAATTACTGATGTCGTTGGTTTCTGCCATGTCTAAATCGATCTGGGAGTAATGCCTGATATCACTCTGCCATCCTCCCTGGAATTCTTCCACAAAAAAGTCAAAATTAAGGGCCGGCCGAGTGGCTCAGTTGGTTAAGAGCTTGCTCAAGAGTGCAAGCTCTGAGCAACAGGGTGGCCAGTTTGATTCCCACATGGGCCCGAGCTGAGCTGCCAACAGGTGGCAGGATGGCCCAGCTTAAAAAAAAAAAAAAAAAAAAGTCAGAATTAGTGCAGCCAGTTTGCTCAGTTGGTTAGAGTGCAGGCTCATAACATCAAGGTTGCTGGTTCAATCCCCAAATGGGCCAAGGAGCTGCGCCCTCCACAACTAGATTAAAGATAACTACTTGACTTGGAACTGATGGGCCCTGGAGAAACACACTGTTTCCCAATAAAATTTCTTAAAAAAAAAAAAGAATCAAAATTAGGAGACCAATCTAAGAGTACAGTGAACCCTAATCTGCATGATCAGCTAAGCTCAGGATATTGTTTTAGCTCCATAGTCTAGATGACCAATTTTCAAAGAACTAAAACAGTGTAAAATACATTTTCTATACCATTATGGTAAATACCATTTAAGCTTTATTTTCTAATTCAGAAAGCCTTCGTGGTCTTAAAATGCCTTGGGATTATTATGAATATTAATTATCACCTCATAGCAAATGGTATGTGTAGGGGGAAGGCAATCTGTAACCAGTAATGCCATTTCCTGCTGTAGCATGTCTTCAGACTACTCTCTTACTAGTCCTGGTAGGAGCACTCACATCCACACTTCATGACCTTGACACTTGAACTCAAGTTATCTCCAGCCTTTACTGGATCTCCCTGACTTCACAATCTTTCTGCATCATCTTAAACTCTATACAGCTGTGGGACTCACCTCTGCGACAATGGCTTTCCACATGTGCCTCCCATACTTGAAAGCCTACAGTGACAGCAGCTTCTTTGCCTGGAAGCTATCAAGCCCAACTTTTCCCTAAACCCATGACACTCAGTTCCTATCCAGCTCATACACCCTTACCTCCCCCTGCTCTGGAATAACTGTGCCTGCAACCCATCTGGCCAGGTCTCTCATCAGGCCCGATGCAGAGACTGTGAAGTCAGGGAGAACCAATAAACGCTGGAGGTTACTTCAGTCCAAATATAAGGTCATTAAGTCCTTAGGTATTATATTAACAAGACATAGAAGGCATAACGTGGAAGGATGACCAGTAATATTCAGAGGGGGAATAAGGTGAACTCCTTAAAACCAGATGCACAACAAAACCCCAACGGCCATGGCAAAAAAACAGGAACCATAAAGTCACTTAAGGCCTGTAGATTATCTTTTTCTCTTAATAACTCAATTTTGTTATCACACACAGGCCCATTTGCAGCCTATGACAACTCTATGGGGTTTTCTTATTCCAGAGGTAGTCTCACTCCTCTGGAATACATGCATTATAAAGTTTAAAAACCGGTTGATGTTAGAAGACAAACTAGCGTCCCATTGTTGATACAATTTATAAATCCTTATTCATTTCAGCTTATGGAATGAATTCTCTGGTCCCTGTATATGAATTACCGTAAGAATAATTTTTCATAATTCTATAGAAAAAAGAATTAAAAAAGTCAAGGTAAAGAACTGCTACCTATTAACCAACTGGTTACTTATTAAATATAATTTCACATAAGAAAAATAGAAGACATGGCTTCCTCCAACTTTAGATGTCTTTATGAGTGTGCAAAATTGCTAAAAAGCTACCTTCCTGCCATTGCTCTTCCTACTCAGTGGAGACGCTTCTGTGCAGCCATCTCCTCAAGGACCCCATTTTTGTGGAAGGATCTTGGGCTGAACTTTTGTTGCTTTATGCATTATCAATACAAGTGCCTAGCAAACTCCAAGACAAAACTAAAACCACAGAGCTAATTTCATTTTCCTTGTATTGGCTTGAATTTGCACGTGCAGCTACTGAGCAACAACCGTTTCAACTTGTACATCAAGCACAGAGACAGCTTAAGAACAAAGGGGAGATTTTTTTTTT